GAGAGAGGGAAATTGTCCCTGATGCTAATTGCCAGCACCACCCTGGGATGGAACTGATTTCACAGGGAATCTCCTGGGGGAAAGGAATCTTAGGGAGAAAAGAGGGGAAAAAAAAGGAAGAGGGATGAAGCTGGAGTTTCCAGAGGTTGTTGGACATAAAAGGATTTTGTTGATTGAAAATGCAAAAGCTGGTGAAAAATGTGATTAAATTTGATGCCTGGCAGTTGTCACTGGAATAAAAGTGGGATGGGCTCGGCTGGATGAGTTTTCCACTGCTATGGGATGATGCTCGTAAGGAATAGGAACATTATAAACATATATATAAATAAATATATATATAAATAATTATATTATAATAATTATATATAATATATAGTATATATTATATATCTATATTTAATATTATCTATAAGATATATAATTATAATTAGATAATTATAATATTATTGTATATTATATATAATATATATTGTATATAATATATATTATATTATATATAATATATATTATAGAATACATATAATATATTTTAATATATATTATATATAATAGACATTACATAATAATCTATATTACACATTATATATTATGTGTAATATCTATATTACACATTATATTATATTATTATATAATATATATTATATATATTATGTAATTATGTAATTATAACATCATATATTATAGAATATATATATTTTAATATATATTATATATAATAGACATTACATAATAATCTATATTACACATTATATATTATGCAATTATGTAATTATAACATCATATATTATATAATTATATAATAATTATATATGTTTTAATATCTATGAATATGAATAATATTCTTTATGAATATTCACGAGGAATGCTCCTGTGAAGTGCATCCAGCTGTTCCCACGAAACAGGACAATTCCATGTCGTTGTGTAGAAGTAGGAGATGAGATTCTGCTCCTTACACCAGTTCACAGAGGGATGAAATCATTAATGGATTTATTCTGGAGTAAAAACGGGCTGGAAACAACAATTTGTGCTCTCCTCTGAGTTTTGCTGCCTCAGTCCCGAGGGAATGGAGTGACAGGACAAGGGGGATTGGATTTAAGCTGAAAGTGGGAAGGGTTGGATGGAATTTTGGGAAGGAATTCTTCTCTGTGAAGGTGGGGAGGCTCTGGAGAGGAATTCCCAGAGAAGCTGTGGCTGCCCCTGGAATCCTGGAGATGTCCAAGGACAGGGCTTGGAGCGCCCTCAGATAGTGGGAAGTGTCCAGAGACTGGAATTGGATGAGTTCAAGGTCCCTTCCCACCCAAACCATTCCAGAATTCCACCACAGCCAAGAGGCTGAGACAAATCTTGGAAAAAATAAGGATCAGATCCTGGGATTTGGATTTCTCCCCATTGCTGTGGCAGGGATGAGTATTTATGGGAAAAAAATGAAATCCTTTTTAGTGCCTGAATCCTAAATTGATCCAACCCAGAGCTGTGGTGGGAGAGACAACTCCTGTCTTAAATTCTTAAATCCCTCAGCTCCAAAACTTCCCATCTCACCTCCTTCACCTTTTTTTGGGAATGTGAACAGGAATTCCAGAAGGTATCTCTGCCAATGATCTTTAAGGCCCCTTCCAACCCAAACCGCTCCACAATTGAGAAAAACTGTGAAATACTGTCGAAATCAAAATGGGGCGGAGAACAGGAGTCAGTTTTCCCTGGAGAAAGAAAGGTTTGACTCCAGCTCCTCATTCCTGAGGTGACGGGAGGAGCTGCTCCTTACCGCGGAGCCTGGCGGCGCGCTCAGCACATCCAGAAGATCTCTGGGATAGGTTTTGGGAAAAGGATCCAAGAATTCACCAAGGGATGGAGAGCGAATGCGCGCAGGAGTTCCTCTGCCCGACCTTTCCTCTGGGAAGAGCGGAGATCTGGAACCTGGGGCGGGCAGTTCTTAAAACCAAAATTATTTTCAATAATTCAAATTATTTCAAAATTGAAAAGGAAAAAAAAATAAAAATCCATACTTCTATCCTGTCTATAAAATCACATCTAAATATGAAACAAAGCCGTGGAAATAACATTTTAAATATTTTTTGTTTGGCATTTTTTCCCCTGAGGGCTCTGGCACATCCTGGTTTTCCAGGGAATTTATGGATTCCTCATCCCCCCCTGAGGGCTCTGGCACATCCTGGTTTTCCAGGGAATTTATGGATTCCTCATCCCTGGAAGTGTTCAAGGCCAGCTTGGAGCACCCTGGGAGAGTGGAAGGTGTTGGGGTTGGAACTGGATGGGCTTTAAATTCCCTCCCAACCCAGATCCTTCCAGGATTTTAATAGTTTCAAATCTCTGGATCCCATGGATAAAAGCTGCCAAGGGAAGTACAAAACTTTATCAGTTCAAAAAAAAATGTTCTACTTCCGCTATTGAAAGTTTTTTTAAAAGAACTTATCTATTTTCTCCCAGGATTTTTTTTACTCTGTTCGCCAGCAAAAGATCTTACCCAGCAGTTCATTTTAAGAAAAAAAAAGAGAATTATAAACCTCTCATAATCTCCCACAACCAATCTTCCCCCTGCTCCAATCTCACTAAAATGTCCCTTTTAAAATCAACCTTGGGGCAAGGTTTGGAAAAGGAATTATTTCCCGCAGTCCATGAGAAGAGAGGATCTCTAGAAATAGGAGAGTTGGACTTATTTAAACATGGATAAATGGGGCTCTAAGTGAATTTAATGGTGTGTAGTAAATTTAAAAGTTACTTTATGAGCAGCAGAATTGCCCAAATCCTGCGGTGTTAATGAAGTTTCTGTAGTGACAAGTCACTCTCTGAAAGAGCTGCTGACGAATACAAAGTCCTTTAAAGGCGCTTCAGATACTTAAATCTATCTCCAAAAGTACCAGGATAATATAAAAAAAATCTTTTTCTTTTCCATCCTCACCCTTTTTTTCTTCTTTTCTAATAATCTCTCCAGGGTTTTGGTGGGGTTTGTTGCCTTCGAGACAAAACGTCCCCAGAGTTTTTAAGGCAAGAAAATACAATATTATAGCAAATAAGGCAAGGAAATCACCTTTTTCATTTCAGATGAACATGGAAGTTCTGCAAATTAAAATAAAATCTACTTAATTTAAGGCTAAATAAGATTTTTCAGCCAAGTCCTCACTGCTGCAGCTCTGAGAAGCCACAGTGTGTGCAGAAGCTTTTCCTGAGTCCACTGGGAAATTAATATTATTAATTCTTCTAGGATCCAAATTTACATGAAATGATGAAGTGATGAATATTGCACTGTCCTTTATTACAGTTTTCAGACATTTTGCCTTTTTTTCAGCTACTTTTACTTGCAGCCCTCCCGAGCCACACAGGCCGTGGATATTGGCTCTGTGCTCCTCAGGGAGCTGATTCTCCACCCTGTTCCAACGGATCTAAAATGGAAACAAATCCATAAATGGAAACTCCTGGAGTCAGAGGGAAAAAATTCCTAAAAATGAGCTTGTTTTTTCATTCCTCTTGCACATCCTCTTTTTACCATAATGCCTTTTTGTTTGTTTGTTTTATTTTTTTTATTCTACTGAAGTTCTTCTCCCTCCCTTTCCCTCCTGGAGCCCATGGATTAATGATTAAATTAATAATTAATAAATAAAAAATAATAAATAGTTAGACTGTCTGAAAGTTTGGGGGAGATTTGGGGCTCGTTTTTCCCGTGTTAATTTAGGAATTTACATGAGGAGGGTCCGAGGGCACGTGGTTTGTTCAGCCTGGAGAGGAGGAGCTGAGGGGAGACTCCTCGGGGTCTCTCCAATCTCTGCTCCCTGTGACAGGGACAGGAAACAACCGGAGCTGTGCCAGCTTTAGGTTGGATTTTAGGAAAGGTTTTTCCCTCAGAGGCTGCTGGGCACTGTCCAGGCTCCCCAGGGAATGGGCACATTCCCAAAACTTCTCCAGGAGCGTTCGGACAACGCTCCCAGAGATGCCCAGGGTGGGATTGTTGGGGTGTCTGTGCCTGGATGATCCTTGTGGGTCCCTTCTCACTCAGAAATTCCATGAAATTTTGCATGGAACCATTCCATGACACAAAAAAAAGCAGGAATGACAGCAAGCACTTGGATTAGATGGAAGTGGCCATGAGGCTCCAGCCCCGGCTGTTCAGGGGTTAAAAAGCTTCTTTCAAACACACCACAGATAATTTGGGAACAGTGGATCACCCCAGAATCACTTGGAGTGGATTTTTAAGTTGTCTTCTCATCTTATTATCCTGATTTTCCTGCTCCTTGTGCCATCCTGGGGAAAAAAGTGAGGTCCCGGTGTCATCCCAGTCTCTTGTTGCTCAAGTTTGGGAGGAAAAAGTTCAGCCATGAGCACCCCTCACTTGGGATTTATCTGGAATGGGAGATCCAGAGCCCAGAACCATCCTCAGAGTCAGGAAACTCCATCTGAACACAAAAAAGAGTTGGAAAAACATCCAGGGTCAAAAACCATCCTCAGCGGAGTCAGGAAACTCCATCTGAGCCCAAAAAAGTCAGGAAACTCCATCCAGATCCCAAACCCATTCTCAGAGGAGTCAGACAACTCCATCCAGGTCCCAAACCCATCCTCCTGGAGGAACCAGCCTGGGAGAGCCATTGCAGAGCAGCTCAGAGCAGCTCGTGGAGCTTTCAGCTCTCCCAGGCTGCATCATTTACAGATCTCAGGACATCCATTAGCAATGAATAGGAATATTCTGCTGATAAAACCAGGAGTTCCCTGGTTCCCAGCACCCCTCACTTGGGATTTATCAGGAATAGGAGATCCAGAGCCCAAAACCATCCTCAGAGTCAGGGAACTCCATCTGAACACAAAAAAGAGTCAGGAAACTCCATCCAGAGCCCAAAAAAGAGTTGGGAAATCATCCAGGGTCAAAAACCATCCTCAGGGGAGTCAGGGAACTCCATCCAGATCCCAAAACCACCCTCAGAGGAGTCAGGAAACTCCATCTGAGCCCAAAAAAGAGTTGGGAAACCATCCTGAGTCAAAAAACATCCTCAGAGGAGTCAGAAAACTCCACCCAGGTCCCAAACCCATCCTCCTGGAGGAACCAGCCTGGGAGAGCAGCTCGTGGAGCTTTCAGCTCTCCCAGGCTGCATCATTTACAGATCTCAGGACATCAATTAGCGATAAATAGGAATATTCTACTGATAAAACCAGGAGTTCCCAGCCCCTTTACCTGCCCTGTTCCTGATGCCTTCGATGTTGTCCAGAATTTCAGGTGGCTCCAAGCCCAGGTAGACCTTCACAAGGTGAGTCAGCTCTGTGAACGCCTCGTCCAGATCATCTGCAGAAAGACACAAATCACACCAGTTTGACACAGAAATGCGTTTTTAACTCACCCAAAAAATACAGAAATACAGATTTTTTTTCGACACAGAAATACGTTTTTAACATCTACTGGGGAGGAAAGCTTTCATAAACAGCTCAAAAAAGGCTGAAATTCAGGCTCTGCACTCACCTAAATATTTTCCTATTATTTTATTTTTTTAGGGCTGTATTTAAATCGCAAACTCCAAATTTGCAATATTTTACCCCACAGTGCTCCGATTTAACGCGGAGAACCCCAAAAACCACCAACACAGAAGGTGACCCACGAGAACCGAGGGATTCTTTTCCCAAAGGGTTCTCCCACCCGCCTCAATTCCTAATTACCCCAAAGTCAATCAGCAATTAACTCACCTGTGTTGATGAGCACGTGGAAGTAGCCGGGGAAGCCGTGGTTTATTTGGAGGTACACGTCCACTCTGGACAGCGCCTCCTCGATCTCCAGCCTGCTGAACAATCCTGTCCTCCTCAGGTGTTCTTTATATTTCTCTTTGTCCCTCGGTACCAGCAGGACGTACCTGGGTTTAAAGTGGGTATTTTTCAAGCTACGAACACCCTTGGAAAAAAAGCAGAGAAAAATTGATTTGTTTTTGTTTTTTTTTCCCCCCTCGAAACTGATTTTTTGCAGTTTCAAGTATAAGCTGTTTCTTAACAGCTTTGGAGTTTTGTCGCCAAAAAAAATGAAGGATGATAAAATACGAAAGTGAAAATTTTGTAAAAATTTTGTGAAAATAAAGCAGAGGAACACAGGGGTTTATACCTGAAACTGAGTGTTTGTTGGATTTTTGTTGGAAAAAAAATGAGGTTTTTTTGTTTGTTTGTTTTTTCCTCTGTGTTTTATCCCAAATTACTGGCTGGAAGTTGCTCTGCTTTGCTTTCCCAGAGCAAAGGGGAAACGCTGCAAACATTTAATTTAATTTAATTTAAACCAGAACTGAGAGTCAGACCTGCAGCAGCTTCTCTGACTGTAAGTGTAGGCTCAGCAAGATTTTAACTTTTAACATTGGTGTTGGTCTCCTTTACCAGCCCAAGATATACCCTAAATTAAAGGGAATGAATAACCCTTAATTTTCAGTCTCAGCCCACGGCCCTTAATTAAAATTTCCTTTAATGGCGCTAAATCGCTTTTGTTCTGAGCCCTGCAGCAGATAATGGACTCAGCACCTTCTATTCCCACACATAACTCAAAATTATTGTTTTTTAGAGCTTGCAGGGATACAAAACTATAGTAAATTTAGTAAAATATAATGTATATTAAATAATATATTAAATATATTAAATAAAATATTAAATGTTATATATTAATTTAATTATTATTCAATAATAATATATATTATATATTATGCTATATAATGTATAATATAGTTTAATATAATAATATAATATTAATATTATATCAAATTATATAATATTTATATTATATATTATATATTAGATATTATATTATTATAATATAATATTAATATTATATCAAATTATATAATATTTATATTATATATTATATATTAGATATTATATTATTATAATTATATATTAAAATTATTAATAATATTATATATAATTATATATTATAATTTTATATATAATCATATCTATAAATATAAAATATTAATATAGGAATATAATTATAAGTAATATTAATATAAAATATTACTATATATTATATATTAATATATATTCTTAAAATATATATAATAAAGTATATATTGCTATATTAATACTATTAATAGTTTAGTAATCGTATTGATATTAATAATATTAACATATAAATATTAGTCTAATATATAAATTATAAATATTATAAATTATATAATTTTATACTAATACAATATATATAATTATATAATCATAAATATATAATAATTAAAATATAGTAAGTTTATGTGGTTGCTATTTTTAAATTGGTTTGGGAAGAGATTTCTTCGAGAAAAGTGGAAAAAACTTGCTTATTTAATAGGTAAAGCACTACTTAGCACCAGAATGAACAATATTAAATCACAAAATCTTTTGTTGTTTTGAAGAAATGATAAATTTAGAATTTGGATTCTTTTTGTGGGTGTTTGTTTTATTTTTAATTTTTTTTGGTGTTGGAAAATGTCGTAGTTCAGGTGAGGATTTTTGGTAATTTGTGGGTGTGATTCACGGCTCCGTCAAAGCTGAGGGGAAAAAGGAGCTGCAGCTCCTTTATATAATTATATTTAATTATATAAATATTTACATAATTAATCCAATATTTAGTTATATAATATTTAATTTTATTTTATGTAATATTTAATTACATAATAATTACAGATCTAATAATGAGGTTATTAATTTGCTCTTTAATATCAGCCAAGCCACAGGCCCTTGAAAGCATTGCAGCATTAAATTGTTGCTCATTTCAGAGTGGAAATATTTATTTTTTAGTGCCACCACGCTGCTGTTGTGTTATTTATACATTTGTTGTGTTATTTGTACATTTATTTATGCACATCCAGTGGATGTGCATGGATTTCTTTTGGGCACAAACTCCTTAAGAACACCAAGGCAGTCAAAGTGAAAATCAGATTTTTGATCACCAGTTTCCCAAACAAAATTATCCTAAAAATTAAAATTTAAATTTAAAATCAGTTTTTGACCAGGTTTTGAGCTAATTTCTTCTTATCTCTGTTGTTCTACTCAGCTGAAAAACTGTTTTTTGTTTATTTTTTGTTCACCAATTTCCCAAACAAAATTATCTTCCTTTAATTAATTAAATTTAAAATCAGTTTTTGACCAGGTTTTGACCTAATTTCTTTTTTATCTCTGTTATTTTACTCAGCTGAAATATCAGTTTTGTTTTTTTCTTGATCATCAGTTTCCCAAATAAAATTATCCTCCTGTAATTCATGAAATTTGAAATCAGTTTTTGACCAGGTTTTGCCACATTCCAGGCACTCTCTGGAGCCTCTCATTTTGGAATTTCACCTATTTGGAGCTTATTTTGAAGAAATCATTTGGAAGGAAATTCAGAATGTCTTTCCTTTTTGTCACCTCGCCTAGCTAATAAAGGTTGATAAAAGGAAATGAGAAATTTAATTAGAAAATTAGCTAAAAACTTCAGATTTTGGGGTTCCATGAGAGGGGTTTTAATACTTTTTTTGTGACCCAGTACTGTGACCTGACAAACCTCTGAGAGGACAGAGCAACTCCTCAAAAAAAAATTGCAATTTTTGATAGCTCTGCCCCAAATATTGCCTCAAACCGTCTGTCAGCAGAGGAGAAAAAGGTTTTTTTTGTTTTAGGGGTGATCAGGACTGGTCCTGCTGAAGGGTGGAGATGGGTGGGAATCTCCTGGCTGGAAAGCTGAGGGTGCTGGAATGGGAAGTGCTGGTGATGCTGAAAGTTGAATAAAAACAGACCAGAAACTGAAAATTTAAAAACCAGACCAGCAGGAAAAGCTGGAAAAGCCCCCTAAAATCATCCTCCCAGCACTGCCAAGGCCACCAATGTCCCCAAGTGCCACATCCTCGTGTTCCTTGAACAATTCCTGGGGATGGGAATTGTTCCGCTCCACCACTGCCCGTTCCAATCCTCCGTTATCCTTTCCAGGAAGGAATTTTTCAGGAAATCCAACCTGAATGCAACTTGAGGCCGTTCCCTCTGGTGCTGTCCCAAATCCCACGAAGGAATGGTGATGCTCACCTCAATTTCCAGGTGGACACAGGCACCCAGCCCCTCCCTGGCTATGGATTCCAGGGTTTCTCTTGCCAGTCCATAGCGGTGGCCGCTGTACTCGTAGGTTGCCAGAAATTCCCCCTGGAATTTGGAACAAGGAGAATGGCAAAGGAAATATTCTGAGGGGAAAAACTTCCTCAAGTGAGTGGATCACTTTGGGTTTCTCTGCTTTCTCGCCCTGTTTTGATTTCCTGGTTAAATCAGGATTAATGAGAGTCCAAAATCAGCATCAATGAGGGAACAAGAGCCCAAAATCAGTGTTAATGAGGGAACGAGAGCCCAAAATCAGCATTAATGAAGGCAGAAGAAACCAAAATCAGCATCAATGAGGGAACAAGAGCCCAAAATCAGGATTACTGAGGGAAGTGAAAGCCCAAAATCGGGATTAATGAGGGATGTGAGAGCCCAAAATCAAAATTAACGAGGGCATGAGAACCCAAAATCAGCATTAATGAAGGCACTGAGAGCCCAAAATTAGGATTAATGAGGGCATGAGAGCCAAAAATCAGCGTTAATAAGGGCACTGAGAGCACCAAGAGCCCAAAATCAGGATTAATGAGGGAAGTGAGAGCCCAAAATCAGTGTTAATGAGGGAAGTGAGAGCCAAAAATCAGAGTTAATGTGGGCACTGAGAGCACCAAGAGCCCAAAATCAGTGTTAATGAAGGAAGTGAGAGCCCAAAATCAGTGTTAATGAAGGAAGTGAGAACCCAAGATCAGTGTTAATGAGGGAATGAGAGCCCAGAATCAGCATTAATGAGGGCAGTGAGAGCCCAAAATCAAAATTAATGCGGGCACGAGAGCCCAAAATCAGGATTAATGAGGGCACCAGAGCCTAAAATTAGGATTAATGAGGGCAGTGAGAGCCCAAAATCAGCGTTAATGAGGGCACCAGAGCCTAAAATCAGCATTAATGAGGGAACAAGAGCCCAAAATCAGGATTAATGAGGGCACTGAGAGCACCAAGAGCCCAAAATCAGCATTAATGAGGGAACAAGAGCCCAAAATCAGGATTAATGAGGGCACCAGAGCCCAAAATCAGCGTTAATGAGGGCACTGAGAGAACCAAGACCCCAAAATCAGGATTAATGAGGGAACGAGAGTCCAAAATCAGTGTTAATGAGGGCATGAGAACCCCAAATCAGCGTTAATTAGGGCACTGAGAGCCCAAAATCAGCATTAATGAGGGCAATGAGAGCCCAAAATCAGGATTAATGAGGGCACCAGAGCCCAAAATCAGCATTAATTAGGGCACTGAGAGCCCAAAACCAGCAGAAAAGAGCCCCCATATCTGGGCTTGTGCCATGGATAATCAAATTCCAGAACCCTGAGAACAAAGAGCGGACAGCATTCCTGGGTCATCCCTTCCCTCTGGGAAGGAAAACCCAAAGCAAGGCGCTTACTTCTGCTGATTTTACATCAAACCACACCAGGCCATGGAAAAATGGCAGATTCCAAGGGAAAGGAAGAGCTGCCACACATCTGCAAGGAAAATGTGGGATTGGATGAGGAATTTCAAAGTTCTGCAGCCCCAGAGAGATGGAAGCACATTATTTGATGTTTTTAAAATTAAACTCCTTGGTAATTGCCACAAAGGGACAGCTCAGTTGTTTCAGGCTCTGCTGGTTTCCCCTTTTTGTATAAACACAAATAATGGGCTCTGCTGAGGCTTTTAAAGGAGAAGTTTTGTTGTAAAAGGCATCAAAAAGAGCAGCTGGAGGCAGAAATCCTTCAGAGAAACATCACTCCTTTAGGGGGGGATTTGCTAAACTTCCAAGGAATTCCCTGCAGGGTTGCTGGAAAAGGTTGAAAAAATAAAACTAATAAACCCCACACTATATTTGTGCCAGAAAATAAGTTTATTTCTGTGTTATACTACTATTTAAATATTCCCCAGTGACCTTCTTGGTGGTTTCTGTAAATTCTATAAATTCATTTACAGGATTAAAACCAGCACAAATCTACAAGAAATTGGTGGATTCTGTCTGTGAATTTAAAAATACAACTGAGAGTGAATAAACATTCACACCCAGGCATGAATTTAATATTAAAAATTTAAATTAATTTATAAATTATAATTATTCTTTAAAATAATTTATAAATTATATAAATTTTATTCATATATAAATTATATAAATATAAATATTATAGATAAATTATGAATTTATATATAGTATATAATAATATATTATATATAATTTATATAAATATATAAATTATATATAGATATATAATTATTTTTAAATTAATTTTATAAATTAATATAATTTATAAAATAATATAAATTTAATTTAATATGGAAATTCAACCAGGCTTGGACAGAGAAGTGGAGTTCACTGTGGGAGCAGGAAAAAAACTGCAAGGATGGGAGTCAGGTACTTACTGCTTTCACCATTTTGTCAAATTCTTCTTGAGAAATGAAATAATAATCGAGTCTGTTTTCCTCCCCAAAATAAGCTGTCCTGGTGGTGTGACAGGGCCTGGGAGATTTATGGGACAATAAAGAAATAACCTGTTTTCAATCCCTGGAACAGCAGCGGGAAGGGGGGAAAGAGGGAAAACTGGAAATAATTTCATTTTTAAGCAGCAGAGAAATATGAGAAATAGAAAGAGGTGCAAATCATATCCCTAACGCTGCGTTTTTTGAAAGATTAACCCATAAATACACCGAAAAAAGTTAAATGTAACGTGGTATTTTGGCTATAAATCCCTGCCCAGCCCAGGCTGGCCTGAGCTGGGGCTGTCACAGCAGCCTGAGACTGAGAAATGATGAATCCATTTTTTTTCCCCACTTCTGTCAGCTCGGGGATGATAGAAAGTCAAATCCTAAATGTGGGAAAGGAGCTGGGATGGACTGTGAGGTTAAGAAAGAGCTCAAAAATCCCATTTTTCGACAGATCCCTAATGCAAAAATCCCCCAAAAACCCTGCTAATTAATGCAGGGAACAATTTCAACCGGTTCTCCTTCTGTCTGGAAATCAGATTTTTCTTCTCATTTCTGCTTTGCCATTAAAAGGGATAAAAGGTGGGAAAGGAATTCCGTGCTATCCCATGAGGATAAAATTTAGCCACCAGGGTGAAACACTAAAAACCCACTAAAAAAACCCCCAAAAACTCTCCCAAAAAATAGATAATTAATGGAGGTAATAATTTGGGCTTGAAATATTCAGTGGTTCTCATTCTATTTGGAAATCAGATTTTTTTTCCCTGTTTCTGCTTTGCCATTAAAGTGGGATAAAAGGCTGGGAAAGGAATTCCCTGCTATCCCATGAGGATACAATTCAGCCACCAGGGTGAAACACTAAAAACCCACTAAAAAACCCAAAAAACCCCTCCCCAAAACCCCCCAAAATTAGATAATTAATACAGGTAATAATTTGGGCCTGAAATATTCAGTGGCTCTCGTTCTGTTTAAAAATCAGATTTTAATCCTGCCATTTCTGCTCATTTATTCCAGAGAGCTGAGCTGAAAACCTTCAAGAAATTCAGTGTCAGCATCAGAGGGTGGCACTTTTTTCCCAAAAAAACCCCAAAAAATGAGAGCAGCGAGTTCCACACAGACTCTGTAAAATTCCCTGATTTTTTCTGGGATCACACAAAACACACCCAGCTCCAAAGGTCACTGCTGAGCACGAGCCAGATGGTTGGAGGGGCCAATTTCACTCGATTTCCTGCGATTTTTACACATTTCAGCCCTTTTTAATTGCAGGGCCATGTTTACATTCAGACTGTCAGAGTATCTTGCATAAAATCCATTTTTAATGAGCAGAATGGTTGAAATATCAAGCCATAAAACTGCTCAAATCTCCCCTGAATAATTAAAAATACAACTTTGCTTTATGGATGTAATTTTCTGCTCTGTTAAGGCTCTGTCTCTCCCTTTTATTTTAGTTTTTTTTTCCCCTCCTTCACGGGTGGAAGTTGTAGGGAATAAAACACACAATATAAAAATGCTCTTAAAAAACAACAACAACAAAAAAAATACCCAAATAGAATGTTTGGAAAAATTCAATTGGAGTTGAATTTGTCATTTTCAAACTATGGGTTTAAAGAAAGGGGGGGAAAAAAAGGGAATTTTTACAGTGATGTAACAGATTTTTCCCTTAAAAATAAAAATGAATGGATAAATTAGTGCCATAAAAATGAGGAATAAGGGAATTCAGAGCAGGTTTTTTTTGGGTTGTTTGGGTTTTGGTGTTTTTTTTGGTGTGTTTTTTTGTTTGTTTGGGATTTTTGGGGGCTTTTTTTGGTTTTTGGGGTTTTTTCTTGGTTTTTTGGGGTTTTTTTGAGAGGGGTTTGGTTGTGGTTTTTTGTTTATTTGGGTTTTCTTATGGGGATTTGGATTTTGGGATCTTTTTTGGTTTTGTTTTTGGTTTTTTGATTTTGGTTTTGGTTTTTTGTCTGTTTTGCTTTGGTCTGTGGGGTTTTTGTTTGTTTGGTTTTGGGGTTTTTTGGGGTTTTTTTGTTTGTTTGGGTTTTCCTGGTTTCCTTTCTGTTTTGGTTTGGCAAGAGAAAAAAATGCAGCAAAATTCTTTGGTTTTAACTCATTTCCAAAAAAAAACCAACACCCACAAACCAAACCAGCAACAATGCCAACCTTAACCCTTTGATGTTTGTGTTTTTTTAACCTCAGGAAGAAGAACTTACCCAAATCTGAAGAAATTCTTGAGTTTTTTGCAGATTTTGAGACAAAGTTGCCTCTTCCCACAGGCCAGAGGGCCCAGTAACACCAGCATGGGGTAGGGCTCATCAGCATTAAGCAAAGTGCTGCAAGAAAGGCAAACCAGAGCGCACTAAATCACCTAAAAATCAAATTTCAGCAGCTTTTTATAAAACTTTCCAGATATTTTATCACCCCTTCAACTCATCTCAAGTCGTTCGGAGTGCAGACAAAAACTGAGGTCCTCTGAATGTAAATATAGCAAAAAAATCTGCATTAAACCCTCTTTTTTGAAGGGAATAATGTTATTTTTACTCTGATCTCACCTGATTTGCAGCCTTTTCTAAAAGGATGGGGTTTGCTGAGTTTTTTTTTAGAGATGGGAATATTTTAATGAGCAGGATAACTGGAATAAACCTGGAATAAACTCAATCCTACAGATTTTTCCACTCTCCTCGTTGACTTCCATGTCCTGTGCCAGGTGAAAGTGTAAAAATTCTTCAATTAAACATAAAAAAACCCCACTCAGATCCTTAAAACTCCACTGAACAGAAATAAAACCACAATAAAAGCAAGCAAAAATACAAAATTCTCCATTTTCTCCATACTGAGTTGAGGATTAAATTCAGATTTTCCACTTCCAGCTCTAAGTAGGAGAATGAAGAGGATTTCTGCACTTATGAGTGTCCAGCAATTTATTTAGGCAGATAAAAACAGAATTTTAGATTAATTTTTAAATTTTTTCAAATCACTTTTAAATCTCAGGTAGATTTTAAGATTGGGACACTTGGAAATATGTCATAAATAATTGAAATAGTTCCAAATCAGTGATTTTTAAGTAGTTTTAACTAAATTTTGAGTGAAAGAAAACTGCCTCTTTGTCCATTTAATGGGATTTAAAGCAGGTGAACACAGACACCTGAAAATAGAATAAATTTCTTTTACCTTCCTTCCAACAAATAACTCCTTCTTTAAGAAATAAGGACAACATTCCAATATAATCAAGGAGGAAAAAAATTCCAAAATCGTGGCTTTACTCCTATTTCAGGAGCAGCAAAGCATCTCTGTCACCCACCAGAATATATGGATATAATTAGCCCCAGAAAGCTGATTTAGCATGATACATTAAAGGTAAAAATTTGGGGAAAAATTTAAAGTAAGATAAAAAGTAAAACTAAAGGTAAAAATTTAAAAATCTCTGGAAATCTTGTGACAGGGCCTCCCCAGTCCTTAAAATAAAGATTTTTTTTTTCTTTCTCCCTGCACAGGACCTGTTCCAGACATGGAAAATGCAGAATTCCTCTGGCATTTTTCCTTCTAGGAGGAAAAGTTACACCAAATAAGTCATCCCTCAACAAGATCATGCTCAAAATTCAAATTCTCTTCAAGAAATTCCCAATTTCCTGTGCCCTCAGATTCCTGGGATTTGGGATTTCAGCAGGAGAACAGGGAGAGCATTTCCATAATCCTGTCTTTCACTCTGTCACTGCTTCTTGGTTCTCAACATAAGAGAAGTTTGGCGGTTCCTACAGCTTCTGGAAAAGAGTTTCGAGCCCTTAATTCAAATTTCTTTGTCTTTGTGTGCACAGCTGTGAAAGATAATAAACTTTTAGGCCAGAAGGGATTGTTTTGATGACCAAAATTATCTTCCCCCCATCATCCCACTTGGAATTCTCCAAGTTAGTTCCTGTTTCAGGCTTGGGAAATGCAGAATTCCTCTGGCATCTTTCCTTCCACCAGGACATGTTATACCCAATAAATCATCCCTCCACAAGATCATCCTCAAAATTCAAATTCTCTTAAAGAAATTCCCAATTCACTATGCCCTCAGATTCCTGGGATTTGGGATTTCAGCAGGAGAACAGGGAGAGCATTTCCATAATCCTGTCTTTCACTCTGTCACTGCTTCTTGGTTCTCAACATAAGAGAAGTTTGGCGGTTCCTACAGCTTCTGGAAAAGAGTTTTGGGCTCTTAATTCAAATTTCTTTGTCTTTGTGGGCACAGCTGTGAAAGATTAATAAACTTTTAGGCCAGAAGGGATTGTTTTGATGATCAAAATTATCTTCCCCTCATCATCCCACTTGGAATTCTCCAAGTTAGTTCCTGTTTCAGGCTTGGGAAATGCAGAATTCCTCTGGCATCTTTCCTTCCACCAGGACATGTTATACCCAATAAATCATTGCTCCACAAGATCACCCTCAAAATTCAAATTCTTTTCGAGAAATTCCCAATTCCCTATGCCCTCAGATTCCTGGGATTTGGGATTTCAGCAGGAGAACAGGGTCTTTCATCCGTCACCGCTTCTTGGTTCTCAGCACTAAAAGTTTGGGGGCTCCTACAGCTTCTGGCAAAGAGTTTTGGGCTCTTAATTCAAATTTCTTTGTCTTTGTGGGCACTGCTGGGAAATATCAATACATTTTAAGTCCAGAAGGGATTGTTTTGATGGTCAAAATTATCCTCCCCTCATCCCACTTGGAATTCTCCAAGCTGGTTCCTGTTTCCAGCCCGATACCTGAGGTTCCGTGAGATCATATTTGAATTTCAAACCTTTCAGTTGTGGAGAACTCTCGGTAAATTGTTCCAATGATTAATAATTTTAATTGTCAAGAAAAACCATGCTCTGGGTCTTTCTCTGAATGGGTTTCTCCTCAACAGCCAGGTACCAAAAATCCTCCTGTCCTGGCCCAACAAACTGGAGATTAAATTAAATTTCTGCTCCCCGTGTAGCTGAGCAACATTTTCAAATGTCACCTGCATCTCTAGGAGGTGAAAATACCCAAAATATTCACAATATTACAGGTAAAATCATAAACTGAGAGAGGGAAGAAAAGGAAATTCAATGTTTTGTGCCTGTGGGGCAGGCAAAAATAGAACTTTTTGCTTTGTTTCCAGGTTTTATTTGTAATAATAAAGATATCACTAACCCAGAATTAATTATAACCTGATGGAGAAAGAGAGATGCAAATGAACTCCCCCAATCTGGTTCCAAAAAGCATTTTTTGGGTGGAAAAGGTAATAATCATTAGGAAGATTTCATTAATGACTCTGGGGTGCTTTCCAGCTGAGCATGGGCCAACGTTTGAGGCATCATTAATTTTTTGGGGCAGTCCCACAAAGGCTGGGCCGATGTTTTTGTGTTTGTGTGCACATTTCCTCTGGCAGAAGGCAGAATTCCTTCTTTCCATCAATCTAAAAATCCACCAAGCAAATATTTAAAGCAAATATTTAAACACAGGCCTGGGGAAAAAAAAAAAAATTCTTAGAGGTTTTGGTGTTTTTTTTAAGAAGAAAAATAAGCAAATTTTGTGGTTTTATTTTAGGAAATCTCCAACCTTGCAAAAATAAAAAGATAAATAAATATTTGGGGTTTTGTTTTTAAAAGAATTCTCAGAGCTGTTGTCACAACTGGGAAGGCTCCTGGTTTTTGTGGATGATCTCAGAAAACAGAGTCACAATAAAAATACAAATTTCTGTGCTACCAAATGCTGGATTTTCTATCAGGTTACTCAGTTTTTAATTAATTCAGCACCAAAACAGCAAAGGTTGATCTCAGTGCCCACTGCAGCCAATATAACAATAATCCACATATATTTATAGTGCATTCCATCAGATTATGCGGAAGAATTTTCCAAGAATTCCTCAAATATTGGGACACACCTGCAGAGCAGCAAAAATTCCATTTTTTGGAGGAGAAACGAGACTGGGAGAAGCCACCTGGGAATGGTGACACTGGGAAAAGAACATCCACCTGCCTCTCCCTTCCATGATTTCCATGGAATCATCTCCTTCTTCTGGTAAAACATGGAAATTTCCCCTTATGAACTCAAAATGTGCCCCAAAGCCCCCAAATAAAATCATTTTATCCCACCAGGATGTCAGCAGTGGGGAGAGAAGGCATCAGCAGAAGGGGAAGGAGAAGTTTTCCAGCTCTCTGCTGCCTCCAAGGATTTTTCCGGTGCCTTTGGGCACGGGGAGGGATTTTGCATCTCTCGTTTGTGGTGAGAGTGCCCATCTGCTCCAACAGATTGAGGAAAGGCAGCGGAGCTGTGGACAATCTGTCTCAGACTTTAGAGGTGAACGAAGAGCTTCGTTTCGTAATCAATTTGAACCAAATCAGATTTGCCTCGTTTTCGGGCTGCTGGCAGAATCCTGCAGGAGTTCTCCTTGGGAAAAATGTCCCTCTGAACGTGACAAAATTCTGCTTTACTTGAGTGCCACCGTCAGGAGCAGCTGTGAAATGAACTCACCTGTCCAGGACTCTCTGGGGCCGCTGAAAGTTGTACGAAAGGTGAGTCCTGTGATCTTCAGCAGCCACAACCTCTGGAGGAGGGTCCTCTTTATTCACAGCAGCGACCTGTTCCCAAAATTTAGATGTGGGGGGGAAAAGGAAAGGGAGAAGTGATGGGATTGTTTCCAGCTGCAAAAGGTTTGGCAGATCACCAGGAGTCAGGATGGCTTTGTGCTCCCGAGGGTCAGGAGCAGAAATCTTTGCTGGGGATTGAAGGATGATTTGAGGGATGGATGGAAGGCAGCCAGACACAGCTCACCGTCTTTAATGTATTCGACCTTTTCCTGGGAAGAAAACACGATGCCACATAGGATGCAAGAGGAGTTTTGCTGAGGTTTTAATTACCCGTTCATTTGCATCCTCTCAGTGCTGGTGGAAGGTGCCAAACTCAAATCCTTGGGGACTAAAGCCACTCGTTTATTACAGGACGGACATTAACAAAGCGAGCAGACCCCTGACAGTGCATTCCTGCCTTTCCTGGCAGGGAGAGCACTCAGACTCCAAGGATTCCCTCCACCCATCCTGTTGGAAGCTCTCCTGACCACTAACGAGTCGCGTATTTTGGGGGTTATTAACGCCACACGCTCAGAAATAATTAAAGAACGACCGAGGCAAAGCCTGTGGGACACGAGACAGAAAATTTCCAGTTCCAAATTTCCAATTTCCAACCCCAAAATGAGACCAATCGGCCTTTGGAATAACCAAGAGGAGGTTGGATGGGACTCGGATCAAGCTGGGATGGTGGAAGGTGTCCCTGTCCAAGGCAGGGCTTTGAGGTCCCATCCAACCCAAACCCTCCTGGAATCCATGAGAATTTATTTCCCCAGGGAAGTGGTGGGTTCACCAATGCTGGTCGCTTTTAGGATTTGGGATGGACATGGATTTGTACTGATTGTGCTTTTCCCAAGAAAGGCTGGAGCAGACAATCCATGAGGTCCTTTCCAGCCTGGAATCCCAGGGCTGTGTGGCAGCCAGCAGCGTGGGGAAATCGGAGGGGAAACACCCAGAACTCAGAACTCCACATCCCCACGATTCAGGAGGTGTGAAGTAATTTCATTTTAGCTCTAATTTGCTCTGAATTAGTGGCTGGGAGCACAGTGGGTGCATCCTGGTATCCTGAAGGAAGTTCAGGAACTCCTTTTACTGCAAGAGATATTTATTCTCCACAGTGGGAATGGCATGGTGAGTTGGACAAGCAGGAATTCCACTTCCAAGCGACATTCCTGATCTAACCCACATTCCTGTACATCCATTTTGTGTTAGACAGGGAGCTGCTGCCTCCAAATTCAGTTTGGCAAGAGAATTCTTGAGGTTAGAGGAGGCACCCTAAAATAACACGAGGAGAGGATTTTGTGAAACAACTTTTATCACTCAGAAGTGAAATGCTGGTCAAAACCAGTCCCTCAGGTTCACTTTTACAGCCCATAGAGAAGGAAAAATTTCACTGATATATTCAAAATTGTATTGGGATGAAAACAGGTTGGCACATAAAGAATAAGATCAACATCTTGGGCAGCTGGGGAAAATTGCACTCTGGTATAATTATCCATGTGTTCAGGATGGAGAGAGCCTGGCACTAAACAAAACCCCCAAAATTCATACAGATAAAATTGGGAGTGATGGATTCCCTGAAAGGATGGCTTTGAAAGGATAATTCCCTGAAATACAGCAGCTCCAGCACGGCTTGGGCCCACCACAGACACCAAAATCCACCACAGCAGGGAAAGGTTTCCAATCCAACAGAATTTTGGCTAAGTGGGATTTTGGGGGAGGAGGTTTGCTACAACTGCAAGCCTGGATTTTATGTTCTTTGTTTAGAAAACTTCCAGAATGAAATGGTGTTTGCTTACCTTTTCTTCCACAGAAACCTCCTTGAGATCCAGTTCTGTGACTTGGAGCAACATGAAAATCGCCGAGAGCCAATAACCTTCCTCTTCCTGAGGGAAAAATTTTCCATTTTGACAGAAAATACTTAATTTAATCCAGCCAATATTTAATTCCAATCGGTTAAAATTAAATTTCCCTTAATACATTGGAAAATAAAAGGTTTTTTACCCTGAAGGGTGTCAAGACACTGCCCAAACTGACTTCATGAGCTCAGCTGCTGCAGCAAGAGCTGAGTTCTTCAAAATCTTGTAACCATAATATTCAAAATGCCAAGATGGGAATTTAAAAATGGAAAGGGATCTGATCAGACTTTGCTTAGGAGAAGGACATCTCAGCAGGAAAAGCCTTTCAGATGATGGAAAACCAGGAACAGTCTATTTCAGGTACTTTTTCCTGCTAATTTCATCGTGTGCCACACAGACCAGCCTCATAAAAGCCAATAAAAACCTGGCAATTACAAGAAAAAAATTAAACTCTTAATATTTTTCTTCTTTCTGGCATTGGTAATGACTGTAAAGTTCGCACAAAATTTAGAAATCACAAGAGCTGGGATAGAATCATCTTGGATCACTCAAGACAAATGACCTGTCCTCTTCTAGAGGCAGAAACTGGGGCTAAAAGGATTCAAACCAACACGTTTAGGTTCTCATTTTTGATTCTTTCTTACCTGAAGAGGGTTTTTTAGAAGATTTAAAACCCTGAGGAGAGGCAGATCTTCAATCCATTTAAGCTCACTCAGCTCAGCCACCTGAGCAAGGACAGAAACCGAGCGTAAATCAGCAGCAACACAACCCGTGAGAAAACGAGGGGAAAATGAAATGTTTTAACGCCTGCTCTTCAAATCTGGGCATTAAAAAAAATTATTATAAATCACAAAAGGGGTTTACATGTTAACTGCACTCCATGAGGCACAAAAGGAGACAACCTGGCTGTTAGCTGGAGCAGCAGGATAATCCACACAGCAATTTCCAAGCACCTGCATTTTCCCAGCTCTTTCAAATGTCAAGCCCTAACGCATTTGGCTTTTAATGTGCTGATGTGCTTAAGTGAGGCAATTCTGCAGTTAAATTTGTGCTCTGGCTGGGTAGTTTAAAAAATAAAAAAAAAAATTAAAGAAAAAAATCCATCTAAGAGTTTCTTTTCACTGGAGTTCAAGTTTGTCCTATAGAACTTGCAGCAATTGGATAAAAAGGACCAGGATTTTTGTCCTTGGGGGTGTTTAAAGGGAAAAATGAGGGGGTCCAGAGGGTCCAAGCTGTTTGGGGTCTCATCTGTGCACGAAGGAAAGCTGGGCACTCAGTTGTGGGGGTGAATCAAGGTTTGTGTGGCCCAAGCAAACCTGGTTTTCTTGGTTTGGGGAAAATGTGGAATGGGTTGGGTTGGTATGACCTTCAAACCCATCCAGTGCCACTCCATCCATGGGCAGGGACACCTCCCAAAATCCCAGGCTGCTCCAGCCTGGTCTTGGATGCTCCCAGGAATCCAGGGGAAGCCACAGCACCTCTGGGAATTCCATTCCAGGACCTCCCCACAATTCCAGCCAGGAGTTCCTTCCCCAAATCCTATCTAAATCTCTCCTCTTTTAGTGTAAAACCATTCCCTTTTCTCCTGCCTGTATTTTTCCATGTAAAAAGCCTCTCTCCATCTCTTTCACAGCCCCTTTTAAATCCTGAAAACCCAACTGAACTGAAAAGATTCCAGATTCTCCCTAATTTATACTCAGTCCTTTTAAAGTGTCTGAAAACATAAACCTCCACCACAGCCTACTCAAAACTCACTTTGAGGTAAGAATAACCCCACCCAGGACAGTTTTCACGAAGTTAAATGTGATTTTAGTGGATTTCTTAAATAAATCCCAGGATTCCAACCATCAACAGTTGAAAATCACTGAATATTTACAAAGGACATTTGCAGCTAAACCTGTTGTGCCCATTTTTTAAAATCCCAAGAATTTAAGATCATCCTGAGTGAGCTGAAGTAACTCCACGTGTTAATCAATTAAAACTCCTCTTTAAATTATCCTTCAGAAAGCAATGTTCAAAAAAAGGTGACTCATTAAACAGTTTCAATGACATCATTCAAAGAGGCAAGTTTTGATGAGGTGAAATTAAGAGTTTTTATGTGCTGTGAAGAACAGTGGAAAATAAATAAGGCAGTGGAAGTGGTGTTATTAATGTTAATAACAACCACACCATTAGAGAGTTTCCTGTCTGCTGCAATTGAGGTACCTTTAAATGTCAACCTAAACACAGGGAGAAAAAGAATCCACAGTGACTTGAATTAAATCTTCTTTTTAGGGGGGAAAAAAATGACAGAAAATGTTTGGCTGCTGCTTTATATTTTTATTTTCTTAGATTATCTCTTTTTTCACAAGTCTTTGACGTCAGAGTGATTCACAAATTGATTTTTTTTTTTCAGTTAAAGATGCTGGGAGATCAGTATCAAAATTACTGTGGATATTTGGTTTGGCATTCAAAATTCAAATGAGTCGGATGGTGCCATTGTACTTCCAGTACAGAAAATTGTGCTGCGTAACAAAATCCACTTTTTAACAGAGTTCTTGCAGTTCTGCCTTGCAGGGAGTTTCCAGCTGAGAGCACAGAAGAATCTGAGGTCATAAAATTGAGCTGAGAGATATTAACCATCCCCCCTGAGGCCTGGCAGCAGCAGAGCTGTGGTGTGAGTAAAGATCCTCCAAAATAATCCAGCTGGAAAAGCTGCAAACTCATCCCTGTCTGCCCCAACCAGGGGAGCAATGGGAATTCTCAAAGTGTGAGAGCGCTAAAGTGGGACCTGAGAGGAGAGAAACCCACCTAAAATATTAAATAAGGGCTGAGAGGACACCAGGAATCCACGTGAGAAACACCAAAAGAAAAGATCTCGTCTTTTCTAATATTCATTTCTTGCAGTGCTGAGTGATTTTTGGAGCCCTTCAAGGAGTTGAGTGCTAAAAATTTAAAATATTCTGGGTTGTTGGAAGAGGCTGAGCTCAGCCTGGTACCTGGTTATCCTCCAGGTTGATCACCTCCAGTAGATTGTGCTCCTCCAAGCCTTGCAGACTGTTGATTTTATTCTTGGACAGATCCAACCTCTGCAGAGCTTTCAAGGTCTTCAGCCCATTCACCTTCTCAATCTGGTTAAAGCTCTAAGAGGAAGAAAAAAAATCAAAAATGAAAGCAGAGAAACTGTAAATAAACCTCTATGGAAAACAACATTCCTGAGGGGAAAAAAAAAAAAAAAGAGTTATTTGTTGGATTTGAGGGTTCTTTGTCATGGAGAATCCTGTCACAAGTAGGCCTTTATGGGTTAGCCTTCTGATGTGTTACCTTCCTGTTAATAAACCTCTATGGAAAACAACATCTCTGAGGGGAAAAAAGAGCTATTTGTTGGATTTTAGGGTCCTCTCTTGTGGAAAATCCTGTCACAAATAGGCCTTTCTGCATTAGCCTCATGCACATCCAGATATGTCACATTCCTGCTCAAGGAAATAAAGGAATCAGCTCTCTCCTGATTAGCTTATCTCCAACTCACCTTGAAGAGACAACAGCAATAAAAAGAGCTCTGACATTTTTTCAAAGCTGATCTTGGCCCAAGAACACTCTTGTCACCATCCACCTCAAAATTTAGAACACAGAGATGCATGGAAAATTATGGAATATATATACATAAATACATTGAATTTCCCTCTGTAATCATGGCTCTATTTACACTTGTGATTACAGAATAAATAATGAAAAAATTAAGGTAGGATGGAGAGGAGACAGGCTGAGGGTTGGGAATGTTCCCCTGGAGAGGAGAAGGATCCAGGGAGAGCTTCCAGCACATTCCAGGGCCTAAAGGGGCTCCAGGAGAGCTGGAGAGGGACTGGGGACAAGGCCTGGAGGGACAGGACACAGGGAATGGCTTCCACTGCCAGAGGGCAGGGATGGATGGGATCTGGGGAAGGAATTCCTGGCTGGGCTGGAATTCCCAGAGCAGCTGTGGCTGCCCCTGGATCCCTGGAATGTCCAAGGCCAGGTTGGACACTGGGGCTTGGAGCAGCCTGGGATTTTGGGAGGTGTCCCTGCCCATGGATGGGGTGGCATTGGATGATCTTTATGGTCCCCTCCAGCCCAATCTTTTCATGATTCCACAATCCTCTGATACAAAAATCTCTCTGGAATATGTAAATCCGTGTTTATGCACATTAAGTAAAGGCTCCGTTCACTGTCAGGGACAGCACAGAAATGTTTTAAAAATAATAATTTTTTTTTTAAAAAAAACTATTTTCCTGTAAATTCTTCCAGACTTTCCCACATGAAAAGCCCCAAAGTTTTGAGAACCCATAACCACCCCTCAGAGTTATTTCAAATGAGGCCCTGGTTTCTCACTGGCCTCCAGATGGTTTCGTTCCTCAGGGCGCCACAAATCATTTCTGCCACAAACTCCAAGCAGGGATAACAATTCCTTGCTCATCCCTGTCCCAGTGGCCAGACACTCCCAGATGGCCTCTCCACAGGATTCCTCCTCCATAACCTTGCAAATTTTATTTTGCCATCAGCCTCATCTTATGCTAAAAGCTTGGAAGCCTCATCTTCTATTAATAAATATTTAGGAACTGTTGAAATAAATAAGCCAGCTGACTCTAATGTTAATCCAGTTGTCTGTCCTTGACATTTTTCCTGACTTTTAAATGTTTAATTAGGTTATTAATAGCGTGGAGGCTCCCTCTCTGTTCCTGAGCTTTGTTAGACCTCTGGTTAATCGGGTGCAACTCAGAGCTGGAGTTGCAAAATGCTGAGCCAGAGGTGCAGGAAAAAGTCTGTGAACAAAAAGGATTTGGGGATAGATCCTTTAAAAGCAGAAAATTCCTAAGAGTCCAGTTTGTTAGAGCTGTGCTTCTCATTTTAATTTTTTTCTTGCAAACATGAGTGGGATAAAGGGGTTTTTGGTACAGCAAGGCAGAATTTACAAGTTTTGAAGTCTTCTTCCCGAACTTCAGAACTTTCTATTCTTTTCAGCCTAAAAAGCTCAAGGGGAAATGGGAGAGAAAGCTGAATCACTGGGAAGAGAGGGGATAAAAATAACAATTAAAAAAAAAAAAGAACTGCATTTTATTCCAATTAGCCAAAGAAAATGCTCTGCTAAAATCAATTTCCATAATTTCCACATGGCTAATTAAAAAAGACGAGCAGTGTTATCAGTAGTGATGTCAGCACCTAAAAACCCCAAATGAGGATTGTGTCCATATTTAATAAGATTTAATTGTTATCAATCTCCCTACATTGGACAGAGCAGATTCCCAAGGGACTTCCTGTTAGACCTTTAAACAAACCAGGACATCAGCGGTGAAGGGACTTGATGTGGCTCAAATTTAGAGAAAAGAGCTTCAAAGTATTTAGAAAAAAAAGATCCTCACACTCCTGGAGCTCCTTTTGGAACATTTCGATGGGATTTGGCCAATCTGAGTTAATCTTCCCCACTAAAATGAGAACAAATTCCAATTTATTGCCACTGAGGGAATCACTGAGAGCTCCTGGAGGTATCATAGATCTGAAATATAATTTTATTAACACTATTTGAATATATTATTCAAAACATGCTAAATGTGAACACCTTCCCTGAATATTTCAGCAGCCAAGGGCCAATCTGAGTTGGTATTTTCTATATCCATTTCTACAGAACAGAAGAAAAACCTTTAAATTTTTAAAAAGGATTCGAAAAGAATATTTCTATTCTTGATAAGGGATTCATTCACTTCACTTCAAATATTTATGTGGGTGCTTAAAACTAATCTAGCCAATAGGAGCTCTGTATAGTTTTTTTGGGACTTATTTTTAAAGTCACATTAAATATTTTTCACTTCTTATCACAAAGAAAAAGCTGTTTAAAAGCAGCCTGATGTTTTGAGAGCAACTGGGTTGCATCAAAAATAGGTTTGGGTTGTGTTTCTGTGCAACATTTGTATTATTAATAAAAAAAAAATAAAAATAAGCAATATTGTAGAGACCTCTGGGAATTTGTTCTGTAATTATCTTCATTAAGGTATTGATATATTGATAAGAGGCAGGAAAACCATCAGGAATTATTTCTTTCTTACCAGGTTGAGGATTCTGATGGGCAAATTCTCCAGGCCCTGGATGGTGGTGAGTCTGTTGTGTGACAAACCCAGCTGGCTCAGGCTGTGACACTTCTCCAGCCCTCGGATCTCCTCAATCTCGTTAACTGTGCAGAGCTCTCAGGAAAAAAACAAAGAGCTGAAGGCAAAACCTGAGCGGTAATTAGGGGATAAATTAACAAACTGAGTTGGATTTGATGGTGTGGGGAGCTGGGCAAGGAGAGGGTTCATCCTGTAGGGGTTTAAATCCCATTGCTCGGAGCATTCTCCAGAAATTATTTAATAATTTATAATTTTATGGGGTTATTCCACTCTAAATTATACCTGTTCTGTCCTGGCCATCTGTACTGAGAGGACATTTTTTGTTTCTTTTTATGGGGTTCATTTTATGGGTTTTTTTATGTTTATTTTCTGTTTATTTTTCTGTTTATTTTCTGTTTATTTTTATTTTATTTTTAAAATTATTTTTAGTAATATTTATATTAATTATATTATATTATATTTATTATATTAATTATATTATATTAACTATGTTATAATATATTAATTATATTATGTTATATATTATATTATGTTATATATTATATTATGTATATTATACTGTATTATATTATATTATTCTATGTCATTTTTATAAATTTTGTTTTATTTTAATATTTTTAATATTTATTTTATATTATTTTATATTATTTCTTTTCTTTTAAATTAACATTACAGTTAAAAACAACAGTACAAGTAATCAGAATTCCTCCCAGCAAACTTCAGCATTAACAGAACTCCTCGAATTCCTTAAACAAACTTTGACAACAAATCCAGCTCCAATTTCTCCTTTAAATGGATGAAGTGAGAGAAACCTGCCCAAAATCAGGTAAAACCCTGCCCCAGGTGTCAGAGTGTGACACAAATTCCCCAAAGGATACAATCCAGCAGGAGTTTGGTGAGTGAGTGATATGCTGACAAATCTTGCATTTTTGGGATTTGATTGTGTGAAAAATCTGCTTCCTAAAGGAAAAAAAAAAAAAAAAAAAGAGAGGAATTTGGGATTATTTCTTCAGCACTTACTCTGGCTGGGAGTTTGCTGAGTGTTCCACCTTCCCACCATATGCAGGGGTTCAGTGGGGAAGAAAATAAAAGGGTATAAATAAAATGCAAATAAATAAACAAAAATACAAATAAAATGCTCATTAACATACATGTACATATAAATAAAAGGCATAAATAAAAGACAGACCCAAATGAACTTGGAAAAGCAAAATGGAAAAGGAAAATGTGAACTGAAGTAAGAAGGAAGGATAAAAATTGACTTTTGCCTATGCTCAAACACGTCTAACTTAGATTCAGAAAATGGCTTTGGGTTTAAACCTTTAAAATGTTTTTTTTTTTTGCAGACTTACCTTGAGGTTTTTAGGTGCTTTAAAACTGAAATATGTGGTCAGTTTGTTTTTGGAAGCATTCAGCTCTACTAAATAAGGCATGTGACTGATGCAGGAAAGATCTAGAAATGAAACAAAATGTCAAATCCTGTGCCTGAATGCAAAGATCATCACGGCAAAATGTGATAATTACATCCTGGAGCAATTAAGAGTCAATTTGGAGCTGCACATTCAGAAAGTGATGCCTAAAATGCAGAAATCAGATACATTAACACCTTGTCCTAGAGGAAACAACAAAAAAAAAAGGTTTATAAACCACAAAGAATAAATATCCGAGTTCGACATTTAATTTTCATTACGCCAGCTGACTCGCCTTTAAGCAAGAAATTATTTTTAAATTCTATCCACCTCTAGAAGGACAGATTCACTCTGTCCTGAGTTATCAATTAGTGGAGAAAAGCATTTAGGCCACGACTGAGGAGTAAATGAGTGGTTGCTATGGAAAAGTCCCTGCTCTGTTCATATCTGGCCTCCACAGGAAAAAAAAAACCTCTTATTAAAATGAGCAGGGAGAGAAGCTGCTTCACAAAAGTGCTGCTATTCTTGGACTCAAAACTCCTCAAGTGAAAGGAACTCGAGAGAAATAATGTGGCTGCCCCACCACTGCTTATTCCACTTGATGTTAAATGTGAAAGAAAAAAAAATGAGGGAGAGGGAAGGAGCAGCTGATGGAGTTTAATCCCAGTCTCCATTTGGCAGCTTTCTAAATGTAAAAAAAAATGTGATTTTTTTTTTTTACCTTTTGTCACCCATGGAAAACCTCGACAAGGGAAAACTCAAGGCCGGGAAAACCAAACCAAGCATAACTTGAATATTCTGCCACCTGCACACGTCAAATCTCCACCTTCACCTTTACATATCTGCTGGAATTTTATCTCTGGGTAATAAAATGAGAGTTTAAGCTCTACTTTCCACTGATAAACATATGCCGGTCTTAATGGGCCGTGGATATTTTGGGTGTTTTGGAGGAGACCAAGCCTGGTTCTCTGGAATGTTTGACACCACTGAAATGTCAGCCAGGCTTTGTGACACTGAAGCTCCGTGGTCCAGTGCATTTCTCATCTGAAACAGTTTCACAACCCAAGGATTTGTAGTTTATTTACTCCATACCATTAATTTTATTGGAGGAAAGCTCCATTTTCTGCAGGTGAATGTATCCAGAGAGAATGCTGATGTCACTCAGCTCTCGACCCTGGAAAAAGGAAAGGAAGGGATTTTAATCATGATTTTAATAACTGGCTGTGTAAACTCGCACATTGGAGAGGAGCCCCAAGGTCCCTCCAGCTGCAGCAGCAGAACAAGGTGACATCTACACAAAGTGATGCTGGAGCAGACAGAAATGGAGAAAATGCCAAAAAAAAAAATGACTTTGAAACAACAAAAAGAGAGCTGCAGCCAGGAAAAACGCCAGGAAAGCAAAGCTGTGTGGAAAAGAGAGGAACAGCAGAGAGCTTTGAAAAGACACAACCACTTTTAACCTCCTGAACACAGCATTTCCAGGTGTTTTACACATTCCTCCACTTTTTTCCCTCCAGCTGACTGGAGCAGGAAGATACATTTTTCACACCTGAGTAATGGATCAAAAATCTCACTGCTGATGTTACTACATGAAAAAAAACAACCTCTGGCAGTCAACAGGAGAATCTCTGAGTCTTATCAAAAACCCTGTACATGAAGCAGGCAGAGACAAAAATCTGCCTCTTGGCATTTTTTTTTTTTTTTAAACAAGGCCAACTATCTGCTGTTGAAAAAAGGAAATATTTGTGCAGAAAAGCACCTTAAACTGATGTTTTTTGGTTGTACTTACTGGAAGTGACAGATGAAGATAAGCATATTCAGTCCCAGGGGCTGAGTAGCCCAAGGTGTGGAGTCCCTCAGCAGCGGTGTCTTCATCCAACACCCCCTTCAGCCGCTCCTAAAAACACCAGGAACAGGGAAAAATGGATTAAGGGGAGGGAAATTCCACACTTGGGAGAATCCAGAGGGGTTCCAGTGGGAGCAGGGATGATAAAAGCCCTCAATCAAGTGCTGCTTCCAGTGCTTCACCACCCCACTACAAAAAATTATTATTGGGGGGAAAAAATGATTATTAGGGAAAAAACCCTGTCCTCCAAACAGCTAAACAGAAACGTGCCACGTGCCAGCTCCATCCATTTGAGAAGGCTCATCAGGTTTTTGCTGGGATGTTTAATTTTTCCCTCCTGGATGAAGCACAGGACCCGTTCCCCGGGATGTTGAGCCACGCAGCTCACACTGATTACAGATTTTAACATCCCGGCACTAACAGGGTGCTGCACCCCAAAATGCACATTACTGGAAGCCCTTTCCGTTTGTTTGGTGTGAAAAACGAGGTTCATGTATTTTTTGTATAAAATTTTAAAAGTTTAATAGAAAGGCAATTAGGAGATAGAAATAAAGTAAAATATACAAATATGGCCAGGTGCCTCAGCATTCAGATGAGGGCACACCTTACTGACAAAGAATTCTCCCTTAAAAACAGAACCCTATTACATATTTACAGATATAAATTTATATTTATAAATATAAATAAATATATAATTTATCTGGATAAAATAATCTAAAAATGCAGGGGGTCTCTGTCTGTCTTTTCAATCTCTGGTTTATATAAACAAAAGTAGTTTTTGCTTTAATAGCATGTTATAGCCTAACATATATGTGTAATATACCACTATTTCTAAGTTTAATCGATAACAGAGTAAACTGTATTAATACAACAAAGTTTCCTAACCTGACACATGAAACATTCATTTTAATATCTGCGAAAGGCCAATAATATAATTTGTATCTATAACATTCAGCATGAGCAGCTCAGTGCTGCTCTTGAGAGGAGAAATCTTTGCCAAAGAGGCTGCTTTGACAGATGGCACTAATGAACCACGGCGTGGATTTAATGAGAAAATCAGCCAATGGTTTGTGAAATTCCCATGAGCTCGAAGGAGCCACAAGACAATTGCTAACCCAGGGAGCGGGAAAAATAATGGAATCACCTATATTACAGCACCTACATGTTTTTACTTTATTCTGCACGGGAGAGCGCAGAATAATTTCCACAAGGCAAAATAATCGGGTGATATTTTGTGGTGTTGGGATTTCAAGCCCAGCAGGGAAGGGAGAGAAAATCCACACGTGTCCTTGGAGCTTGTTGAAGCTCAGGGCTGGGAATTTCAAGAGGAAATGGGGTTAATTTGGCCATACACGTGCCAATTTATCTTATATGGCCAGAAGACTTGGCAGTCCTGGGTTAGTGGCTGGAATTGACAATCTTCAAAGGTTTTTTTATCCAATGTAATTGGTTTTGTGAGCGAGAGGGACCATCTAGAAGTACCCTGGACGCCACGGGGATGGAAGGGACCCTAAACAAGGCAGAAATGAGAGGTGAGCGGGACACAAACCAAATTACCTGATGCTGCCATTCCCTCCCCCTTCTTTCCCCACATCTACACTGAGTGATGAGGGGGGAAAGGGCAGTTCCCCCAAAGCACACACCCCTCCCCAAACAGCTGGGGAGCCCCGGGTTGAACCTCTGAGCGCTCTGACTCTTCCTCTTCGCCGTCCTCCTCCTGCTCATCCTCGCCGTGAGGCGGGCCGGGCTGGGGCTGCTCCTGGGGGAACCCCTGAGTGAGGGGCTGCGGCGACTCGTGAGAAGGAGGAAGCGGCTCCCCGAGGATGCCTTCTCCCCCGTTCTGCTCGCCGCCCGCCATGAGCTGTGATAAGGAAGGAGCAGACAGAGGGAACTCCGCTATCGGTCCCGTCCCCGCTCAGGCCTGGCGGCCGCCATTTATTTACTGGTTTCCATGGAGACGGCCCAGAGGGCGGCAATTCGCGCCAACCGCCCAGCCAGCCAATAGGAGCGCAGAGCTTGCAGCAGTGCAGCATGGGAATTGTAGTTCTCAGCACGGTGCTCCATCGCGGTGCATCTTGGGAGTTGTAGTTCAAATCCCTGAAGCGGCCATCGTCCTCGCTTCCTCCTCGAGGTGCAGAACATGCATATAAACGATATAAATATATCAATTTAAGGAGATAAAGGGGCACACAAAGACTCTCTGACGATAGAGCCTTTACTGCTGCCTCAGTATTTGGAGGGAGACCGAAGCGTTTATTCTACAAGCCCGATTTGCACGGTCCCTAGGATGCTGCCTGTAACATGTGACTGTTCCATCCCATTGGGAAGGGCCGAAAATAGCATAAAAGAGGGATTTCAGGGCGAAAAGATTGAAGGGAGAGACACCTCCTCTTGTTAGGGATCAGTAAATGACTGTGTCTCTTCTCCTGCCTGAAGAGATGAGTGAGTTTTGTGCCTCCAATTGCACTGAGCAGATCTGGGAATATTAATTTTATATATATATATACATATGTGCAGACATATGAATATAAATATAATCTCTGGTACTATACTTTCTGTCACAATACACCATTAATGCTCCATAGTTGGTGAACTACTGTTTTTCCTTAAGAAAAAGGCACAATTTCAGAACTGATGGGAAAAAAAATCTATATAATTTTGCCATTTTTTTTGGAAATAATAAGAGATGAGACTCACAGCAGGGGAAAGCAAAACTACAGCTTTTGAGATATCTTTGTGTGTTGTCCTGTTTTTATATCAAGTGTCTCTCACAGACACCAACCTGCTCCTAATACAAATTTGACATAAAGGATGCTAAAGATATTTGAATTTTCAGGTTTAACATCCACCTTTTTCTTATTTTTTTTATTTTAACATTGCAGAATGGGGTAAAATGAGAATGAAAATGTGGAAAATAAAGGGAAAAAGGAGGAGAAGATGTCTCCAAATACAAGTCCTTGCAAGATAAACGAGGGGAAAGAACTTATCCATGAGGTGAAACAATTTAACTTTGGGGATGGGGTTATTGCAGTGAATTTCCATTGTTGGTAAAGTGACAAAGTCTTTGAACGAGGTGGTTTATTGCTATGGAAAAATGGAGAGCGAGAGATAAAAACTCCTTATGGACATTACTCGCTGACTTTTATCTCTGCGCTTCAGGGAAACATTATGATAAGTACAATAAAGCCACCCCAAATTACATCCTTTTATTATCTTGCTGGTCATAAATGTTAAAACCCTTAATGGGATTTATTCCTTTTCCACTGAGCGCTCCCACAGCCCCTGGCACCGACGGCTCTGCTCCGGCTGCTCCGGGGATGGGCAACAAAGGGAAAGGCTGGAGAGCTCAGAAAGGACAGAAAACGCTGGAAGGGAAGGGGGAGGCCTGTCTGGGAGTGGGGTTTGGGGTTTGTTGTGACCCAGGAGAACAATTCTGGATCAGCAGAGCTGCAAAGCCACGCAGGAGCTGCTCAAGGGCAGAGAGTTTTTTGCTCCCTGTCGTGCTGCTGTGGTTGTTCCAAGCTCTCTGGGATGTTCTCCTTCCCAAACCCTGCTGGTTTATATAACTGCAGGCCACATCTGCAGGCTTTGCCTTCTGCACACTGCAGGATCATCACCCCCTGCTTCCCTCCTGCACCAGGGAATTGGGCCTGGTGGGGCACAGAGGGGTGAGGTGTTTCCCCAAATATTCCGCCTCATTTTGAATTTCAAGCACTGCTTGGCTGCGGTGTGAAACGTTCCCCAAATTCTCCTGGCTCTGGAACAGCAAACACTGACTGACCATTAAAAAAAAACCCAAAAGCCAGAGCTGAAGCTGTAAATCTGCAGGTATTGTCCTCATAAAACCTCCCCACTATTGACAGAGGGAGCACTTCCTGCTCAGCAGTGTTAATGGCAAACACTGCCTTAAATACATTGATTTATTGTTCAATTATTAAAACAATCAGCTCCCAAATCCGTGCCACATGCAAAGCAGATTTATGGGCAGCCCTCTGCACTTGTGAAAGCCCGACACAAATTCACTCAGCGGTTCACCAGGAAGCTCCAGGCAATAACAGGACCCAGCTGGGTGTAGGGAAGAGGAGGAGGAGGGAACTCCAAATGCTCCTGAGTAGGAAGAGAAGTGAGTTTGGAAAGCAGGCAACTTAAATCCCATTAAACTCAGCTTTGTAGGTCCAGCTTTCATGGTGGTGGGGTTGGGAATTTATTTGACACCTTTCCCAGGGCTGTGTGTCCTGGGATTCCTGCTGGGAGCACATCCAAGCTCCTTAAATCAGTTCCCTGCAGCTGATGGCTGGGGTTTACTCACTTTCCCACGATCTTCTTCTGTTTCTTGCTGAACCTTCCCAAAAATTTTGTGCTGGGGGCTGGAGACAGGAGTGTCTGTGTCACTTTCCCAGGAAAGTAACTATAAACACAGGTGTTTATATATTCCATTAAAGATTTGCCTTTTGATGGACGTCTCTCACGGCCAGTGTGGTTGGGAAGGTGGTGACCTGACTATCCAATCCCTGGTCATTGTCAAAAACCTATAAATACTGAAAGAACATATAAACTTCCTTCTTCTTTCATCTCACTTGGAGCTGCATCTGTGTGAATCATTTTGTGTCTGACAGTGACGCTGTCCTGTTGGGGTCAGAAGCACAGAAGATGTGCCCTTGTCTGTGGTGCCTGACACCCGAGAGAGCTCTGAGTTTGGCACAACACCATGGAGACAGCTGCTAAAGTTAAGCAGAAAAACTGTAAATGTGAGTGTGTGAGTAGATAGAATTTTTGCAAGCCACTGGGTGAGAAAGTTAGAGTTCAGGGTTTAAGCTATTTTAGAAAATAAGAGACAAGATGGAAGACTTAGGGCGTTGTCCCTTTCTCCTTCTTCCTTCTTCATCATCTTCTAAGATTTTTTGGGTAATAATGAGTGTTTGGATAAAGAAATCCACAGTGCAGGACACAGGTGTGGGGTGATGGGGTCACTAAGAAAAATAACTTATTTTCCATTTCATTACTGGACAAACAGACACATAAAATACCTTGGAGAGATTCTTCGTTCTCAATTTTGCACCTTTCTTTCTTAGTAGCTCCTTGTATTGTGTGTACATGTAATATAGATAAGGAAAGAATAAACAACCAAGCCTGAACACGAGAAAACAGCCTCAGTCTCGTTAATCTCGGTCCTGGGGAAAAGGAACCCAACCACCAATGTCACACCCCGACACTGCCCCAGCTGGGGGACAGAGGCACGGAAAATAACCCTAATATTAATTAAAGTCCCCACAGGCCTTTGGAAGTGCTCCAGGGGCAGGATTCCACCTGCTCTGTGTTTCCCTCTCCTTTTTCCTTCTCTCTGACAGCGGCTGGGTGCCATGGGATGAGCTGAGGCAGCCTGAGAGGGGATCTGCCTGTGCCAAACACATTTCATGCTGCAGCTCAGTAGAAGAAATTACAAACACCCAAGTCCAAGGCCTGAACAGTCCAATTTTCTCCCCTGATTGCCACTGTGCCTCAGCTTAACAGAGTAAATAATGAACACGGATGCAATGAACTTCCCAATAAATCGCTCCTGATGAATTTCGCACAGGTCATCCAAAAGCAAATTTAATGATTATATGCTGGCCGCAGCCACCTCGGTTTTTTTTGTCCCTGGTTCGGTGGTTAGATCCAATCAGCAAAGGAAGAAATGGAAAATAAAGTAAAACACCTCATTTCTGAGCACGCTCCCTGCTCAGTGCAAAAGCGGGAACTTGAACTGCAGGGCACGGGCAGCTCCAGCTCGGATTAGGATGGAATCCTAATTTCCCGGCCAGGAATGAAAGAAAACAGGGCCAGTCCACCGGGGACAGAGTCCTGGAGAGCAACGTTTGACTTCCCTGGATCTCAGCTTCCTTTGGAATTTATCATTTGTCCTCAGGGCACAACATTTCCTGCTCTGCACTCACAGCCTCGGACATCCAGGCTCAGGTTGCTCCTTGGATAGAACTGACGTGTGTCACTGGGTATTTAAAGGATGGTGGTATGAATCCCTGGGTAATAAATCCCTGGAATTACAGCACAGGCAGCTTTGTGGCCAAGATCTGAGGTGCTGAGCGGGGCTTGAGTATCACAGGGTGGGAATGAAGCCCAAAGCCTCGGGACAGGTGTGCCAGTGGCTGTTTGTGGGATTTTCTGTGTCTCAGCTCTGTAGGACGATTCCTTTCGGCTTCAAACGCAGCTCCCTGCTCGTCTGTGAGCAACAGAACCGACATCACTGCAGCGCGAATTTCCTCCTGGCACCTCTTCCCTGCTCCCTGAGTGCCCTCACCTCCGCTGCCGTCCCCCAGAATGAAATTTGTAATTATGATTCATGCTCATCAAATTAAACTGCTGCAGTAAAAGACAAAGAGAGAGCCTCAGTGGAAAGGCTTCTCAGCAAACCTCTCCAGCCAGAGCTGTCTGTGAATGGCAGGTGATGAGTTTGGGGGGGATCCACACCTCGATATCCCTGGGGGGTCCGTCCATCCGTCCATCCATCCATCACCCATCCATCATCCATCCATCCATCCATCCATCCATCCATCCATCCATCATCCATCCATCCATCCATCCATCCATCATCCATTCATCCATCCCTCCATCCATCCATCCATCCATCCATCCATCCATCCATCCATCATCCATCCATCATCCATCCATCCATCCATCCATCCATCCATCCATCAATCCATCATCCATCCATCCATCCATCATCCATCCATCCATCCATCCATCCATCATCCATCCATCCATCCATCCGTCCATCCGTCCATCCATCATCCATCCAGCCAGCCATCCATCCATCCATCCATCCATCCATCCATCCATCATCCATCCATCATCCATCCATCCATCCATCCATCCATCCATCCATCATCCATCCATCCATCCATCCATCCATCCATCTCCCATGCCCATGTGTGTACATCCAATATATGAATTTATATCTACCCGGCAAGTTTGTATCATCCCTAAGA